TATATGTCATGCAATGATGCGAGGGAAGGTCTTGGTTATGCGAAGATTTAATGAGGAACCTGTGAAAACCATAGCGGAGGAAAACCCCCTAGTAGGGCAAGACTGAACACCTGTGCGCGGTGTCTTCTACGATCCTGGGAGTGAAATATTCTCCCAGGGCCAAGTTCAGTCAAACTTCGCAACACCGAACAAGTTGGCCCACGAGGCAATGATTCAAAATACTACAAATCAATTTTCACTCCCAACGAGTTTGACTCCTACCTAAGTCTCATCAAGCCAACAAGTACGACCAATTACATCCTTATCCTAATGACCACACCACTCTTCGACCTTCTCTGGCCTCAGCCGGTCACCAAATACAAGCCCATGCCGACATTTACACCCGACTGAGGAGTCAAAGCGTGTCGCACAAACCTAGGAAACTGTTCATTGGGATGGACGTGAGAGGGATCAGGACAAGTTTACAAGATGGTGCAGAGGATGGATACAATCGCGACGGGCGTGAAACTTCGAATTTTGGCAAGGAGTTTCAAGAATTGAGATTTGTGCGCGCGCCAACCCTTCGATCCCGAGAGTGCAGGCGACATTATAAATACCGTCTTGGGCGGTCTGCCAAGTAAGGCCTGGATAGCTAGAACATATATCCCTCTCAAGACAGGAGACCGCTGGTTCGAATCCGGCAAAATACAATCAATTTTCTCGCAGCACTGGTATGCATGGATGACGATGGCATCCTAAGATAATCAAATGTTTTGAATTTCCCTTTAGTGCGTACCTACGGAGGAGGGTCGATAGTTTGCGTAAGCAAACATAACTCATATTAATATTTGCAAGTGGAATCCAGACTATGAGCGTCTCTAACGTCAAAAGAGTCATCCTTCATTTATACATAGCACCGGTCATGTGTCATAGCTGAATACCCATTAAATTATTTTTTGAAAAAGGACCAGAATAAGCTGCAAGCTATCCTTAAATATGCCACTATCACAGCAACAATACTCAGGTAGTGGTAGTCTCTGGCCAAGTGACGAGGGCTGGTTGATTTGCGCTACTTATAGAGGAAACTCACTCCTAGTGATCTGTGAGAACATTTGACGATATTCTAGTCCATGTCACTACAACAGCATCTTACTCGATCTGCCTCATTAGTCCTATTTCAAAAATATAGCTGGTGCTTTTGATCTTTTTTGATATTACAACTGCAGACCACAAGAGCGCCTTCACGATTGTAACATCGGTGGCACCGAGTCATCCTTCCCTTGCCAAATAAAACCATAAGCCATTAGCCCATGCTATTCCTAGAAGACGAAGCTCACGCACTAGAGCTACTCGATTAAGTGTATATGTAGAGATCAGTGTTCAGTCCTTCATCAGGCTCTGAAGAGAGAGAGAGAGTTTATTTATCGTGCTAGGCTTACACTCTCCATCTAATGGACGTGACACGCATGGAGGACATCTAGAATACAAGTTCCTCCATTCTCCAGCAAAGCCCATCCGATGCCTGGCTTTTCCAAATACATGCCTCGCGCTAGTTATATCGGGTCGAATAGGTAGGAACGCATTCACCATGATCCTAAGACCATGTATTGAGGGAAAACCTTCGTGGGAAAAACTCAATAATTCCTCCTGTACTCTTTCACGACGAGCAGCCGTCTCAAAGAAGAGATTTGTCTAGGGTTTCCGTCAATCTCAAACTTCCCACATTGAGGTTGGTCAATCAGATGACTGCACCTGTGCAAATAAGCCTAAACTTTTACTATCGTTGAGATATTCCATCGAAAAAATCAAAGACTGCGAGGTAAGTTGAGAGAGAGGCTAGGTCGTAGAAGCTCTGGTAGTGGTTGGAGTAGAGGACTGAATATTGGGAGAGTATCACCTGGAAGGTTGATAGAGGCTGTCATTTCTTCACAATTCTCACAAATTCTGGGATGCTGAGCGCTGGCTTGGACTCAATCCATTATTAGCTTGGCTCTTTTGGAGGCTTTGACACGTCGAGTAGTCTACATAGAATGAGCTACCCGACGCTTGATCTCAGTAGTATTATATTGTGCGCCTGCCCAACGTAAATTTACAAAAGAAGTGCAAATACGTGGCCGTAATTGAAGCATTGCTTGGGGTTGGATGGTGCAGTGACATACCATTCGGGCCGTTCTCCCAAGTAGATACTGCGTAGCTTGAACACCAACCCCATTCGAGACAGGACAAAGTTGGTTCGAATCCAGTAAGACCCACACACGAATCCCTCTCGCGGTGGTATCGTACTTGTGGGATGACGAAAGCACACACAAATAGCCACGGGGTTTTCACGCTTTTCCCTGTGGTGGGTATGCACAGAAGAGGTTATAGGCCGTAAGGGTTAACCTCGAGTGGTATCTGCAAATGAAATCTGAGTGTGAGTGTTCTGAATGTCAAATTGAATCATCCTGCTTAAAGCACATATCTTCCGATAGAAAACCTGCAAGGACCTCAAGGCGCCAAATCAGGAAAAATGAATTATATATATATATATATATATATATATATATTTGAAGCATTGCTAATCACGAGATCTCCATGCCACTCGGCTGTATTTCTTTACTAGTGCTCCGACATTGCCTCTTAAAATAATGGTTAAAAACTACAAAAAATCAAATCTAACCATGCTTTCTTGCATCTATCCTACAGAAAGGATCTTTTATTAACTACCAATGTTGAATTGCGTGTCTTTTGACTCGAAAGACGCTCATACCACTACGAGGCGCTATTGATATTTAGCGATCGAGCCTGCTTTGTGAGTACTCAGCAAAGGGAAGTTTCGATAATTTTAGTCGTCCTGGAATGCCTTCATCGTTCCATATAGGAATACCATGAGGAATGCCTTTGAGTCTCGCTGAATTCAAATGGGCAATCTCTTGTCTCAGATGGGATAGCTATTTGAAAGTGTGGATTGCACTCTGGTCCCAGAATTTGTGCTGTGTACAATGCTCATCGACTCCGAAACCTCTTGTCCAAGGTCAAATACTGATTCCCTCTTCAATCGTAATTATCCTCAGTCTAGTTTCGTCCCCATTCCCCGATGCATCTCCAATTATCTGCTAGTTAGACTAATGGACTCGTGTTTGAAGGCCAGAGACGGATATGAGGATGTGTGAAGTCAAAGTCGTGGACTTGATGAGGCTGAGAATTGGTGTTGTTGGAAGCTTTGAATCTTTGTCTCGTGGGCAAGCTTCACTTGCATGGCGACATCCGAGCTCGGCTCAGGGAGACTATCCAGCTCTAAGAGTTACAGAAAATTCTATTGGAAATCCTACTGTCCTCGTTCTCTGTAATTTGGGCTTGTTTGTCTAGCACAGTCTTCCTTCTAGCCATGAGTATCGTCCAAACGATGTCATGGTATTGACGGCGACCACTGCGGTAAATATCATCTACCTGGCTTCTTAATTTGAGTAAATTAGGTGCTGTGATTCTCCAGACAGTGCTTAGGTGAACTGAATCTAGGTGGTGATCCTGTTGCCATATTCAAACGTTTTGAGGATTTCATCTGCTCATTCGCAATCACTGTGTCGCAAGCGTACTCAATTATCTTCCACTTTTGACGGACGAGAAGTTAGTAGCTATCGGCGCCATTCTCTACGAACTTCTAGCCCTCACTGTAGAGTCTGCAAAGCCGAGATTGAATAACATTTTCTTCCGCACTGCAGCAAGGATTCCCCATTGATTTCTGCGACTTCACTTGGGTGATGGTGAAGAATGAATATACATTTATCTTGATTCTCTATTCTATCCAACGAAAGCTAGTAATACACGGTGAGTCTTAATAATCAAGTCCAAGCCGTTTACCTAAGCAGATACGCGAGTATTCCAAACACTGTCAATTACACATGTACCCACACTGATTAATTGATTAATTACATCGATACTTCGGCCGCCTTTACCGTTTTCATCCCTTAGCATAACCCCCTGAGACCAATGTAATGAAGCTAGCTAGAGTCGGATCAGATGGTAGGGTTGAAGCCCTGCTCACCATGTAATTTTCTTGACCCGGCAGGAGGAGCTATGCGGAGAGTTTCCGGCGCATACCTAGCTCCGGATGCGGCAGCAGTGGATTGAACCAAGCTCTCTCTTACTGTTACAAGGAAGGGAGATAAGGACGAATATGCGCGCGCCGTGTGTTCCCGGTGTCTAACTCTCGCCTGGCCGGGGCTGCAGGTATCGTGACTATTTTTTCCGCATACGCAATTTCCACTGCTACGACTTTTCAGGCAGAGAGTTCCGTGAAAATGGGGCCTGAATTCTAAGAAGGACTGAGTTAGTTGGCTATAAGTCACGGGTAAGGTATCATTGATCTTTGAATTATCAAAAGGGGATAGGAGTGCTGTACAAGGTGTGGCCTTGGCCAGAGAGGCGCCTAATGTGCTATATAATCGTTGACTCTAGTAGTTCACTAAAAACCAACCAAGTGGCGAGGTCATTCAGATGTAATAGACCTTAAATACTATCTAATATGGCACTTATCTTCAGTGCCCCGTCATACGTAGCTTGATGAAATTAAGGGCAATAGGCTAGGAAGATAGAGCCGGGATGAGGTAATAGTCCAAGTTGGATGGAGATAGCCGGGTAGCTACGATTAATACTCGACTACATGTTCAATCTAAAGCTTGCCATCGGGTAATTAGTGTTTATGACTGTGTCGCCGACCTTGCCAAACCTCTCGTTTTAGGTTTCCTGAAGAAGTTATTGATAACTGTTTGCTCCTCGTTTTTCGAACGTTTGTCTAGCCGTTCATTCGCATTAGGTCAATTCAAGGGCCAATATGAAATCTTCTACTGTATAACCTAGCCTTTCATTTCCAAATTCATGGCAGATTTGGCCCAAAGGTCTAAGCCGCTGAGTTGTCTGTGTTACGGCCTGAGGATTCAGTTTCGCGTTCCAGTGGAACACGATAGGGCCGGATACAAAGCAGGGTATCAACCAACTTGGCATCAATATCAGCGTGTCGAATCTTAACAGCCATCGCTCCAATGTTCCTAGCAAGGTTACTCTCTCGCGTCAAGGCTTCTGAAACTTTGGTCGCCGGCCCGACGCGCCATGCTGTTCAGCTCGTAAGTGCATGTGTGAAGACCGTTTGTATTGCCCACGTCGTCTACGAGTATGCCTACTGTGTCCAGCCGACTGTTGGCGCCTCAATGCTACCAACTATTCAAGTCATGGGCGACCACGTCCTAATATCTAGGGCCTATCGCCGCGGAAGAGGTGTAAAGGTTGGGGATGTTGTCTCGTTCGCTTCAGTCATCAAACCACGAGAACGTGTGATCAAAAGAATCATTGGGATGCCAGGCGACTTTGTGCTAAGGGACACTCCCGGAAAAAGTCATGACCAGAAAATGATACAGGTAAATAATTTGCTCGCATGCATAAATAGCTACAACTCATATCCATCAGGTACCTGAAGGCCACTGCTGGGTAACAGGCGACAATCTAGAGTATTCGAGAGACTCTAGACATTATGGTCCAGTTCCCTTAGCCTTGGTTTACGGCAAGGTTCTGGCTACTGTGTTCCCGTGGAAAGAAAGGCGGTGGATAGAGAATGGCCTACAGCCGGCACCCTAGAAAGTCTAGCATTTTAGAAATGCGCATTAAAATGGGGCAGTTCATGTGGTTGCAAGACAGATGTTTGTAAATATTGGCTACTATTCGCCGTCTCTGCATTATAAAGATTAATTAAGCTCCATTAAGAGCTGCGTATGATATATCTAGAAGCCTATATAATTACATGGAATAGAGGGCGAAAGCTTTATATGGATGGTGAAAAGTTTAGGAAAACACGTATTGAAATGCGTACAGAGCATTCTCTTGTAGGCTTTCCGTTTTCTCTGTGCGCCCCTGCCTTAAAAGGCATGGCTAGGCACCCTTTCAACCTGAGGGCTCTTAAATCTCGAAGCCATGAACTATTTGCGCCAAACACCTTGCAGATGACTCCAGGAAAGTAGAAAATCAGAGGTTAAGAATTTCCTTTTGATCTTAGCCCTCAATGTGCGATAATTTTGTTTGTCCAAGGAGTTGTAAGGACCTCTGTGCTAGTTGTACTACTTCGACCTCGCTATCTTCTTCACCTTCATCTTCAGACTCGACCTGAGTGTCGGCAATTTTCCTAATCATTTCAACGATACTGTCCGATTTCCCGATAAGATTTATTAACTTTTTGTCTTCGGATTCTAAAAGTTGTAAGAGAGTCCAAATCGCTATGTGTTGAAATGTGGCGTCACCACTGGCTAAAAAGCGCTTCAAGTAACCGTGAATACCTTCGTTAGGGCTATCCCAATCTTGTATAAAAATAGAGTAGTCACCAACTAGTCCAACGATTATTAAAAGGGCATTTTTGGGCAAAATTAGTGTATTTACCTTTTGATGAAAGATTTCCGAGCGCTGCAGCGCTGTTTCCCTGAACTTCGATACTCTGAGAATTAGTCAGTGGTATTAGGACATCAAAGACACCTAAGTTTAATAAGTGTGATTTGAGTTCGTCGCTTAGGGCTAGAACGGCAATCGCTGCTGTCATCTCTGATTGTACGCTTAGTGGTACGTCAAGGACTAGTTGTTTGCACTTTTGTACGGCACCTGCTTCCAGTACTAAAGCTTTGTTCCTGTCAGAGCTTGCAGCTAGATTTCGAAGCGTTGAAATTGCGTGACACTGGATCTCCTCATTGTCTGTTGACCCCAAAAGACCAACGAGTGGTTTGAGAAACCCAGCATCGATAATTGGCGACTCGTTATGGGGGTGGATAGAAATATTACGAATACAAGCCACAGCGGAAAGTATTAGTGGTAAGTATGAAGACTGAAGTAGCCGTAATAGAGGTGCTAGGCCACCTGCACGAACTATTTCTAATTGGTACTTTTCATCTGAAGCAAGATTTCTTAAAGCAAGTGCTGCCTGGCATTGAACTTTAGGCGACGATGAGTCCATAAGGTTTACTAGAGATTGAACAAGTCGGTTCTCATTTTGAGAAAGCTTTTTACGATTATTAGCATCAACAGCAATGTTGCTAAGAGCAGTTGTGCAGTAGTACTGTACATCAACATCAGAAGACGACAGTAGTTGGACGAGCACAGGTATAGCGCCTGCATTGACGAGTTGTTGACGATTTTCGTCTGATTTCCCGTTAAATAGATGGTAATTAACAAAGAACCATTGCTCCCTCACCTGAGTGTGTCATGTTAAGTAATGCACCAGTTGCGTTGCGCTGTACTCGCATGTCTTTAGATTTTGCAAGTCGTGTCAAGGGACCTAAAGCACCTGATCTTGCTATCTTTGCTTTGTTATCTTCATGGGTTGCTAGGTTTGTGATGCATCCGACTGCATTGCATTGGACTTCAACGTTCGGCGACATCATTTGGCGAATAAGAGGAGTGAGTCCACCGAGAAGGACTATAGCGACTTTGTTTTCGGCTGTAGATAGTCAGGACTACAAGCCTGTCTATGAAAGTTGTAACCTACTATTGACAGCTAAGTTTCCGAGGGCAGCGCTCGCTGCACGCTGTACCTCTATATCTGGACTTTGAAGCAAAAAAAGAATAGGCTCTAGAGTATCTCGATCTACTTCGCGAACATCTCGAAAAGAGTTAGTCCTGCTTTATAATTCTCTTAACACATCAGATTCTCGAAATTGACCTTGGCTTGATGGACTCCGCATGTGCCACACTTGAGTACCAGGTGTACAGTTGGTAGATCCTTGAACAGTACCAAGAAGACTTAGTGATGAGTCTATAACACAGCTTACATACCTCTTTCGGTGATTTCAGCAAAGGTTAGGCTAGCGCTCCGCTGAAGATCAACATTGTCCGAAAATACGAGGGTGCTAAGAGCTTGAAGTGGTTCTCCTGAGAAAAAGTCTGTTTCACCACGCTGAAAAATATCAGCGTCTATTATGCTATCAATCTAAATGATCCGTACGTTTTCGAGGTATTGTAAGAGGTCAGCCACAGCTTCTCGTTCGCTCTCGGCCAGAACCGGTTCGTAGGGGCCATCCCGAGATTTGCCTGTAATTTTAGTTAGCAAAATTTTGTAGCAAATTTTAACTTAGGAGCTATTCTTTCCTTTACAGCATAGAAACCCACAAATACCCATCTCTCAGACGTAGCCTGGGGTTATGAACAATTCTCTCCCCGTAATGAGGTATTTTACTGGAGTTTCTAATGATTTATGACAAAGAATTACCGTTAAAGTGACTAGATAAAATAGCTGTAGGTTGAAGATAGAGAGCCTGTAGTATGGGCCAAGAGTGGAATAGATTCATGTAATGTTGGAAGTAGCAGCTGTGACAATCGCCCCTTACCGAGTCATGGTTGGATATGATTTGTGGTTAAATCAATAATTCGCCAAGGCTTGCCATTATGATTTATCTTGCCGACGTTTGTTTCTAGTCGAAGCGCAACTTTGCACAAGTTTACGCCTCAGACTAGTAGCCGCCCTATTTGAGGGTTTCATTGTCACCTGACTCAGGCATTGACCCTTTGTCGAGATATGAAGCGCCAGCATACTAGGATATGCTTAGATCGTTGGGAGCAACGAGAATTCTACGACGCCCAGCCTATGTATGTGTAACACAATACATTTCACTCCTCAGTCGTTGATTCTACAGGACACGTAGCTCCTATCTGCATACAGGTCAAGGGTATCTTTGCATCGGATAGTATATCCTCTTCTATGCATCCTCAACAGTTCTGATCCAACAGCACCACTCCCCACAAGTCTCCATCCGACCACAAACTTATGGCAGCCCTTCGCCTCCTACTGTCTCCTTTTTACGTTCAAAAAAACTAAGGTTATTTGCGGGTACATACGTGCCTCGGGGTAAACCAGGTACTGTGATGAAATGTCAAAAAAGCTGTCATAAAGAGTTTATGATATAAACTAGCTTAACTTACCTTCTTTGCGCCGTTGAGGATTCTGAGTAGTGTCGACGAATCATCAAAAAAAGCACCTATGACAAGTACGTGAGTGAAAAATGCTAGTGGAGATAGTTGGCGAGAAGGACAAATGGCTCCTGACTTTACTGCCACCACTGTTTTATTCGCCCGAAGAAGGAGGAACACCTCGTGATGTAACGAAGGTCTCCCAAACTACCATTTTAGCGTTTCATTCCACACAGTCTTTCTCTTGCTCAGCCTTTATCTTCAGAATCAACCCCTTTTTCCTTGGATCATCAAAAATACGAGTGAAAACCTCGCTTTTCGTTTGATGACATGTATAGCACTCAATCTAAACTTCTCATTCTCTATAGTGAGGGCTAAAGACTCGTGAATTATATCGCCAAAAGGTGTTGAGTCCTTGATTCCTGGTGTCTAGTAATAAACTAACAGTTGAGTCTTTATTTTGTTCTTCCCGATTATCGCCCTTGATTGTTGTAGACTAATTGGTATAAAATAAAATTTAATCAATCCTGAATTATTGCACAAACGTCTATTACCAATAACGCTCATGAGCGCAGTAGCGGGCCCTATCTTAGTATGAAAGATATTTAATTATTAGCCAAATGTCCCAGACAGGTCCTGTACAGGTCATCTACAGTTTTGTGGGTATTTGTTACCTGACGCAAAAGATGATCAGCGCCCTTTGCAACGTTTTGAAATTGGACACGAGTGCATTGGATTGTTTACCATTAATTACAGATACTTTATCCTAAAATAATAACCATACCACCCAAGACTTGACTTTTGAATTGAGTCTTACCGAGTCAATCGGTCAAAAAAGGCAGATTTCTGTTCACCAAAGCCAACATTCATACTCAGCATCATCTATCACACGCAAGAGCCTTGAAAAATATCTCATCCTAGAGTTGTATATTCCAATTATTCCTTGCATGTCCTCATTTCCCCCTTACATAGTTTTCTTCACTTGAGTGCCTCATTCAGTTGCCAATCGAAGTAACCTTTGTGCTTCTACTCCTTTCCCTCCATTTAGTCTTTCTCTGTAGTTACTAGCCACTTGCTTAGTCTGGGAAACTTGTCGATAATCTGTCTCCCAAAGCGTGGAGTCTAGACATACCAATATGAACTTAAGATCAAGATGTAGACCCATCAAGGCCGGTAAACTGGAAGTAATTCCATAGCTAACGGCACTTAAAATAGATTGACGTTATTTGGAACTATTGATGGTGACTCCACCTCTCATGTTTCTTGAAAGATCATTGATATATTGCCCGTGATGAATAGTCATTCAGCTCACTATATACCCGTGTAATTCGGCCATCTTTTCCACGGAACCTTCTACCCAAAAAAATAAAAATATGGTAGCGATGGAAACTGCATGCGCGAGAAAAAGTCTCAAAAAACCTGCAGCCCCAGCCAGGCGAGGCCTAGACACCGGGACCACATGAGGTGCGCATATTCATCTATATCTCCCTTCTTTGTAACAGTCGAGGTCGACTTGATCCAATCCACCATCTCCGTATCGGGTGCTAGGTACGCTCCGGAAACTCATCGGATGGCTTTTCCTCCATGATTAAGGGTTGGTGATGAGAAGGGTTCCGACCCTACCATCTGATCTGATCGTGGTTAGCTTCATGATAATGGTGATAGGGGGGATGTGTTGAGAGATGAAGACGATACAGACCGCGAAAGCGATTGGGAATCCTTGTCGAAGTGAGGACTTTGCTACTCAATCTCAGCTCTATAGACTCCATGGCGAGAGCTGGAGGCTCGTAGGGGACACCACTGAGAGGTGTTGAGAATAGTCCCCCTAACTATGTAGGACATGCAGTCGGCAATGACGAACTATTCCCCTTCCAGTGGTGCCGCTGCAATCGCTCACTCCGTTCTGCATATCAAGGATATCCAAGAAAAATTGCAACCGAATCGAAGTCAAAAGCAACCTCAAGCACATCTCTATTTGTCGACTTCTCAATTGTGTCTCGTTTAAAAATTTTATATGAGTCCTCAACCTCTGAACATACATCATCTCTTCTAAACTGCCCATAAAGGAGTTGCTCCGATAGCAAACAGAAACTCACCACACTAATTGCCAGCAATATTTAACTACAAAACTATAACGCTATGCATACCCGCGAGTAGAAAATCAGGCTATAACATATAAATTTGGGTTCTTGGTTAACGGGGGATTATTGCTCTAATGGGGTTGCACAATTTGAGTAGGAATATGCTACTGGAATATGGAACGAGAGAGAGAACAGATCTCTTGCGGGCTTGTTTGGACTGTCATATTTGATTGATTTTGATTTTGGGGTGACAAGGCCAAGGTTTCGACAAATTAGCCAGGTCTTGTTTTGTCGATGATTCAATGGCACTCCCCAGAGCTCTAGACGGCACAAAAGAAGTTGGGCTAAGCTGCCATACAGCAATCACGCTCTATCAAGATTTTTCTGACATTTCTGACATTTCAGCACGACCTTCGGGAAGGAGTTGGAAGAGGACTAGAAAGGCAGAGTGTGAATTCTCCGAGGTACCCACAATTCTGCAGCGCCTAGCTGGCCGGCCTCTTCGAACGCTTCAGAAGGATCACTACGCCTTCGGATTTATTCCTAATGTCGGTATTAGAAGAGCCCCGCACCCAGTGGTTTTTGCGATATTGCACGGCTGCCATACACCCGCGAATGGCCATCGTTTCGTTGGCTAGAGAGGAGAGATAATGAAGGTCAAAGAGCTCCTCTAAGTGTATGATCGATTTAGGACTTGTGAGGGTTGGCACTATTTGAGGGGAGCTGTATGGGAGGCATAGAAGGGGATATGCTATTGGCATTGGTATCCTTGGCCTATAGGCAGAGAGGACCTGCATGTCCTACATATTCATAGACCTAGATAGGACAATAAAATGAAACAATAATAATAAGCCAACGATGGAAGGTGCCGTAGTCCGCCTCCTAGTTATGTTATCAGGTATAGTTTAGGTAGGCTTGGCACCTATTGCACTTAGGAAGGAGACGCCTCAGACCACATTAGCTTAGACTATTCCAGTCGGCAAGGACTTCTTCCCTCGTAGATCATGTACATATGGATTCTCTACTTCATAATCTTAAAGTCACTCAGAGGAATAGCTTGCTTATCTGTAACATATATGTGTAGTAAGGCTCTAGATAGTATGTTTTAGGCCTCATAGAAAATGCTGGGCTTTTCTGGGCGCCAGCATTTATTTATTTATAGAAATTCAACGCCAAGAAGGCTCACAAGATAAACCTGGCTTCTAAGCCCCCCAGAGAACGTATGACGTACTTGCATGGCATATTGCTGTGAAACATCTCTATTGTCATATGACGTCTAATTAAATCTGCATAGACAACATAGTATCGTGAGTCTTCGATATGGGCCGAGGCCGGGCCAACAGGAAAGATACCTGAAAAGATAGTGAATCTCCTCAAAAGTATTCAAAGAAGATACCTAAAGCTTGTTGCAGGTGCCTACAATTCTACTAGTATCAGAGTGCTAGAGCACGAATCGTCCATTAACCCTATAGAGATATACCTGAAACAAAGGAGGGTCTTACATGCCAGGCTATCAGCGACACTCCCAGTTCAAGAGACAATAAGATCGACATATAAGAGGATAAAGCTGCCCGCAAACGGGAGATATGCTCTGCATGCCTGGAACAGGAGCAAAAATATCGCCAAATGGACAAGAATTTGTGGAAGTGAGAAGTACAAAGGAATGGAGTAAGAAGCTAGAAAGATAGCAGTCTTTTGGTAGTGGAACAATTCGTGGAAAAGCCAGAACAGGAAACAGTGCCCTGGCCGACCAGCATCAGCCGATCCAGAATATTGCAAAGCGGCAAATAATCTTACTGGTGCAAGAATAGGCAGTAAAAAAACGACCTTCAAAGATACTCCCATAAACATCCACCCTAACCTAACCAGGGCCAAAAGCAGTGTCGCTATTCAATTAAGAAACGAGCATATCGGGCTTAATTCTTACTTGTACAGAAGGAAAGTAACCGGAGTAGATAAGCCAAGCTGTCAATGTGGATATCCGTCACAAAACGTCAAGCAAATGGCGTTGGTGTGTCCGCAGTGAGCTGGTAGAAGAGGCAACTTTCTCCGACAAGCTAAAAAAAGGTCATTTGAAGCAATGATTAACAGCCCAGAAGATGTAGCTAGAATCACACAGTGGATACTAAGC